TACAATATTGCACTTATCGAAACAATATCACTGAGTTTACTATTATTTTCCATTTTACAATATTACTTGATATGATGAAAATAATATCAATCTATTCACCACGCCTATCGACGGGATGTACACGTCACACGCAGTTTTGTAACAAAATCATCTCGACGTGCGTGACACGTCTTTATAGCGCAAGCAAGTTACAAGTTAAGGTTATAAACAAAATCATCAATATTAAAATCTACAACAAAGAAGAGATATCAAAATATGACTTACGTAACAAGATGTAATTATATCGAATCATTTGCAAATAATTAATAATAATATATGAATAAATGTTTATCGAAATCAACGAATTCGTACATTCATTTTCTAACATTGAACATTGAGAAAGAGAAAATGTTTATCAAGTAAAGTATTGTACGTAAAGTTGTACATTAACATAATTACCATAATCAAGAAAAATAAGTAACATTGCATAATACATTCGATACATGTGGTGGTGGACATCCTTAGATATCGAGAACGATTCATCGTTACGTTGCGTGACAAACATATATAACCAAGGGCGGTAGAAAAGAAAAAGAAAAAGAAAAAGAAAAAGAAAAAGAAAAAGAAAAAGAAAAAGGAAAATTAAAAAAAGGAAAAAAGGAAAAAAAACAACAACAAACTCGAATCTATCATTTTTATCTTGAAATAGTTTTTTTTTTTCGGCGGTTTTTTATTCTTTTTTTTTCTTTCGATTTACGTCGTTTCATCGAAGATTAATTAACAACTATATATAACTTTTGTTTTCCCCCCCCCATATGACAGAAGAAAAAGATTAGAAAACGCGTAAAACATGTATCAGTTTTATTTCATTAGATGTACAGAATAATAAAAAACATAACAACAATTGTTCGATATTACGAGATAAATGGTCAAATAAATATTTATTATTGGTTAAATGAATTATTTTGCGGTCATATTAATAGGTCAAATAATATGAACGATACTATAGATTTACGAGACGTACTTGTAAATCATGTTCTACGATAAATGTTAGAAGAATCGAAAGAAACTTTGACGATTTCTATCGATAAAAGTAAAAGTATTCCGAAAGAAGAAAACTTTGGTTGTTTATATAGACATACATACATAGATGTGTGTTAAAGAAAAAGTGGAACATGGATGATAATCCGCGCGAAACGTCTTTACTAACTCTTTTCTCTCTTACTAAATTATTCGTTTTATTTAGCGTACGTTAGTTGCAATCATTTTTGTTGTCGTGTATCAATTAGAAATCTATTTAACTAGAATTTTATTTGTACCATATGATTATTCGAATCATACGTGGAATTATTAACGTGGAGACATCGTCAATTTGTCATCATAAAAAATTGACTAATATTTTGTATAGTAGTATCAAAATTTACTATATAATATTTTATATTTTCACAATTATATTATTTTATATTCACATTTTATACAATCAATTTATTCATTGATTTATATAATATAATAACACTCGTTACTTGTTTTCTTTCTTCTTTTTTTTTTCTAACGATTGAAAAGAAATACAATGAATATCAAAAAAATAAAAGCAAAAATAAATAATAAAAATAATAATATATTATATGTTATATTCATATTTTATATTATATTAATATTATATTATATTATTATATATTATATTATATATTATGTGTGTGTTTATATTTTATATTATATTTATATTTTATATTATATTATATATTATATTTATATTAATATTACACTATATTATTTTATATTATATTTATATTATGTATATNTTATATTTATATTATGTATATATATTATATATTATATTATATTATAATGATATTATATTATATATTATATTATATTATAATGATATTATATTATAATAAATATTATATTATATTATAATGATATATTATATTTATATTTTATATTATATTATTTTATATATATATTATTATATTATAATATAATATTATATCTATAAATAAATGTATATTTTATTAATTTGTTCTTTTGATATAATCGAAAGAAAGAAGGTTTTAAGGTATTTAAAAATGATAGTAGGAAACGGAAGAAACCGATTGTAACCTTGACTTCTATCGATCATGAGAAACTCTCTCGTTCGTCGTTGGGCCTGTTGCTCCTGAACTCGATAAGTCCCCACCTTTCGTGCAACAAGTCCGATCGTTGCTGGACCCCACTAGGTCAGTCAATACTTAAGAAGTGAATTCAACATCATGCAGGTTATTCGCGCTAGATCTTTCGTTGGACCACGAGATGACTCAATTCGTAATTATTAATCGAACGTGTTAACTTATAAATTAAACTCATATTTTTAATTTATTTCTTTAATTTTTTCAATATTCATTGTTTCTTCTTTTCAATCGTCTGGAAGACAAATTTATACGAAAAAGAAAAAGAAAGAAGAAGAGAAAACAAATAACGAGTGTTATTATAATTCTATTCGAATAATTAAATAAAAGTGCAATTAATAGTAATATTATTATTATTATTATTATTGTAACATTATTATTCGTCGTGGGGACAAAACTATATTTTCATTTTGATAATTCGATTCAATTTGTTTCTATTGAAATTTGGGGAGGGGGGCAAGGCCCATGGTGATGGGAGAACTTCGTTTTATTTTCAAATACGTCAATGAACAAACTTAGTGTACAAATAAGAAGAAAAAAGGGGAAGAAGACACAACCCTTTGGAATAAAGTGCGCGGTAAAGTGATCCGATCGGAATAAAATCATTTTTTTTTTTTTTCTATAAAAGATTATTATCACAAAACTTATTAAGGTAATTAACGAATTTCAATTTCTATTATGTGCCCATAATTATGAAAGTGGTCTAAGTCATATATCGCTTGTTTCGAGATATTTGTGCACATAATTAGAGATATGGGCATTTCTCCGAGATATTTCAAGATTTCTATTTGAACACTATATGAATTCTATGTAATATTGAAATAACAAACATTATCTACAGATTCATTTTTGATAATATCGTAAAAATTACATTGAATTTATTTAGTTTAAAATAATGTTGTGCGTAATAACTGATAAACTCATTTTTTTTTAATTTTCACTTAGACCACTTTCATAATTATGGGCACATGTAAAGATTTATACTTGAACACCATATGAATTCTATGTAATATTGAAAAAACAAACATTATCTAACGATTCATTTTTGATAATATCGTGAAAATTACATGGAATTTATTTAGCTTAAAATAATGTGGTGTGTAATAACTGATAAACTCATTTTTTGAAGTGAAAACTTCTTTAGAATGGGAGTGATCTGAAAAGTAAATAAACGGTAACGCAGCTGTGTAACGAAGCTATGAAACGGCTGCTATACTAAATAATGAGAGAAAAAGAGACAAACATATAGGATTTAGCCTGCGAGAGAATGAGACGGAATATAGCTATACAGTTTTTCCTATTCT